AATTTTGAGTAGTACAATTTAATTTATTAGACTATTTCAAAGGTTTGTCATATGGTTGCTTCCAACTTCTTAAATTCGAACTATTTGTTGTTTGTTAATGAAACAATTGTTGGTGAAGTGATTGTGACAAAATGAATCGAATCAACATTTATTTTTACATTATCAAATTCATGATTTTGATTGATCAATCAATAATTGCATGGGTTAAAATTTTGTGCTGCCAAAATGGTCTCTTCTGTTCGCTTATGATTATATTATAATTAATAAAAAATGTAATTTTTTCAAATTGAATTTACATATATATTTTTTATTTTTATTAATTTTTAATACAATAAAATTCGATGCGAAATGTTGAAATAAATGTACATCACAATGTAACAATGCGTTGTGCAATGTTGGGTAGGCTGCGCATCTTGAAATAAGGTTGTGCAATGGCACCCGTTTACATCGCGATGCAATTTTATAATTTAGGATCCTGATGAAGATTTATGATGATATTAATAATTAATAAATTACTATTTCTATAAATGATTTCCCACTTTTTTTATGATTTAAACAGAGTTTGATGCTTTTACCAATTACTTAATTTTAAAAAAGCAAAGAACCTCAAGTTTTATTAGAAAAGGCCTCATTTTTGTCTTTTCTACATAATTTTGATCTGCATACTGACAACGGTCCATCTAATAATAGAAGTGATGGATAAGTGATGGATGAGTAAGTGAGTATTCAGGGTCATAATTTTTTTTCCGCAGAAAAAAAAATTTTAATAATAATAATAATAATAATAATAAAACAGCTAAAATGTCGACAGATACTCAACTCTTTTCACCTGCTCTTGACAAAATTAGACTTTATTTCGATGCAGAATTGCCATTACAAGTTACCATAGAGGACTTAGCAAATTGGTTAAAGACTCAAAGCGTATGCATAACCACTCATAAGCTTCAAAATATTTTACAAGAACATTCGGGAGAATTTTCTTTGACGAAATCATCCGAGAATAACCAAACAATTGTTAAATTAAAAAAAATAGTAAATCCTCAAGAGCCACAACACAATTATATAGATTCTAATGCTAGATCGCTTAGTATTATATCAGGAGATTTAATAGACTTCAGTAATAATAATGTTGACAAAATTATTAAAAATAATTCTTTTTACGTTTCAGAGAATTCTTTAATTTTATCTAATAATGGTGAACAGATTTCACAAAATCATTTTAATGATAATTTGTACAAACAGCAAAGACAACAACCACCACCACCGCCGCCGCCGCCATCACTACATCAAGAACAACAACAATGGCGACAATTGCAAAATCAACCAAATAGTAAGATTAATCAAATTAATAATGATAATGATGAAACAGTGAAGGCTTTAAAAAATTATCTTGATAAATTTTTGATTGATTCTATTCACGAGGTAGAAAGATATCTAAAACGTTCTGGTGTTTTAAAGGACGGAGAAAATGTTACTGGAAGGGAAGTAAAGAAACTTGCCCTGTAAATAAGTAAATAGCTTGAGCCTATTATTGAGAGAAAGTAATCAAAGAATTACCTAATTGGATACTACCAGAAAATGAAATAAATATTATTTTAACCAAATCAATAGATTTGTGTGAGACATTGGGGTGTGCGACATTCTAAGAAAATCAAAACTAATTAATGTCATATATTGATTGGTTATATGTGATTTTTTTTGTGATCTGCATAT